CATTGTCTAAAGCTTTGTTATTGTTAGTTTTTTAATCAATTGTGTGATGTAAAATATAAGAATGGCCAAAATTTACCGTTTCTAAATTTAGGGTAAAATGCAATAAGTTGACATCACTGGCTGACAATTTCGTTCCAACAGTAAATTTAGGGATACGTAAATAACAGTCAAATTGAATTCTAGATTCATTCCATTAATTCGATTTTTAATGTTGACCTTTAATTGAGGGCGAATTGGAGCTACCTTATTTCAAGCGTAACTTTTTCTTAATATTTTGTTATTATATTGTAGTTCGTCAAAAAGAAAACTTCTTTTTTATTTAAGTACTTATATGTTTACTTATATATTATTAAGGACCTCATTAATTATAGAAATATTTTAATGTATTGTGAATTTTCAGTTTTATCTTGTTTAGTATTTTAGTATTTGACTACAACCAAACAATAGGTTTAAGTTTCAGTATCTATATACATTTCATATATGAAAGTTAAAATATATATACCTAAAAATAATATTTTAACCGCTTTAAAGAAAAACACTATATTTTCGATAAAATTGCCGGTTCATTTAATTCAAGGTCTCCGGGCGATGTAGATTTACAAAGCTGCTGGCGTTGCTATTCAATTTTCACAAGTGCTTGTTAATAACAGAAATTGAATAAATACCTCTGAACTTTGTTTAATGAAAGGTCGAAACTAAATGTTTTGATTATACTTAAATTTTTTTTCAAGTTGTTACCCTCTTTATATATGAAATATTTTTGTATTTGTCTGTTTGTATGTACATTGTTATGAACTTTCATGGTAATTTGATCCTATAGAAAACTATAATTATTTTTGTTTGTAGTGCGTTATGCGCCATTTGTCTGTGTGCCCATGAAAATCGCTGCCACAAAGTACCAGGAAAGTAATTTGAAGACGTCAAGTGAGGGAACTTCTTATGCCTAGATTTCACACTTCCACTTCTAGAATTTCAATTATTCATTTTGTTCTTTTAAATAAACAAGTAGTCCAATTGAAATCATGACTTGTGTTTGCTTGGAGAAAATATTTATTTCATCGTAAGCAAAAAAACATACAATTAAAATCACATAAAAATGCACACGTATAAAAGATTAGGTGACTGTATAGTGTGCACTAAAATATAGAGGTTGTTTATCGATTACAACCTTCGCGGGTCAATTGCTCTTTTAGCTCGCTCGCAATCAACTAAAAGAGGTGTTGATAATTGGACCCTTGAGAGCAATTTTTAGTACCGTAAAGCTATAATAACTACAGATAGGAAGTATTTGACTGCCTTTTTTATTTACGTCGTGGGAATGCGTTAGGATAGTGCCTACACTATCCTGGCCGCAAGGACAGGTGTGTGGGACTCTCCTTTCGCGGGTGTGTTCCCGAGGCTTAGTCACTAAAACCTCTATGGTGTGACATCTTCTAGGGATGAGTACCCTATACTGCCTACCTATATTTAAGTTTCCTAATGGTTTGCCTTGAAGCGATTGTTGTTTAGTGATAGGATCGAGTAATAATATTTCTATACTAGCTTTCCGCCAGCGTTGTTTTTATACGAGAATACCACTGCTGTTAACTGTTATACATATAAATGAAAATGAACTGTGCAACAAGAAACTACTTATTGATTTAAATGTTTTGTAACTAAAAAGAAGTCAAAACATTGTTTACAATTTGCACGAATTGTTTTAGAACAGACTGTATATAAATAGTCCGAAAGTTCTAATTTCATTGGTTAAATATTTCTAGAGTAGAAGCGGAGAGAAAATGGAAAATGAGTTGTTTCTCATAGTCATTTAATGAGAAAACGATTCCATTCGAAATGGAGTTAACTTTATGCAACATTGAGTGGGGTAATAATGACATCACAATGACAAAAACATGCTGTGCTGGGTTGATTTACTTTAAAGTTTACACTTTTTTTTTTATACTCATATAATAAGTTTTTGAAACAAAATTTAGTCCACCATCTTTGGTGGTCCACTATATAAGAATGAAGTAATTTGATTTTTTTCTTGTTTTCCTTAGCATACATTTTCATTCCGTACCCATATTATACGAGTACTAAAAGATACTAGACTGTTGATCGCAAGTCCGAAGGAGAGGATTATTGTATCTAATTTTTTTACAGCGTATCTTAAGCTTCTACTAATCTGAAGTCCGTGCATGTGACCGGGCAAACACTTAAGCCTAAAACTTTTCGAGTTTTATTCCAAGAGGAATTATCGTAAAACATTATCACCTGGTTTCTGAATTGACAATTTAAAGTACTTAACGTCTCAAACTGTACTTAAGCCATTTCAAAAGTAACTTAAACGGATTTTCTTTTCTGATCTGATTTTTTTAAATGAGCAGTTTTGATAAAACTAGGACTTTTTGCCGTGTAATATGTTAAAAAATTAAGTTATTGAGAATAATCAGTTGAGATTTTGTATTTTTCTCAATTCAGAAACCGGCCGTAATTCTTCCATATTGTCCCAAAGTGGTTGTGGTACACCAACACCGTTTTAGTTAAATACCTTGGGGTTTTGGTTCATATACATGCTGTGGTCTCATATCTGTTTTATTTATATATTAGTAAATGAAGTCAAAGTCAAAATAATCTTTATTTAAATAGACTTCTTAAAAGTACTTTTGAATCGTCCAACATTTTTTCCCTACCGCTCGTTCAGGACGACTTTTGGCTGATAAGAAGAACGAGCAAGAAACTCACCAGCTCTAATAGGAGTAATGACATTTAAAAAACTATGTCATAATCAGATCAATACATTATAAAAAGAGAATTTGTTTTATATCTAGAAGAAATTCTAAGTCAAATATTCCCGGCCACCATACACCCGTCTTGCGTGGCCGCAGTCCAATCCCGCCTTAATGCAGAAGGAAACAGCTGACTAAATTGTTTGTGGCCATAAAAAGCGCATGAATCTACCAACCATAATGACTGAAGCGGGAGTGGTACAGCAAGAGGCTCAACAGGCATCAGCAAAAATTTATTTCAGTTCTTTTTCATTTTGTAATGATTTCAGAATTTATACCGCTCATTATTATAACGCTGAATACAGTTTATTTTTTTTAATTTGTCTTTCATTTACCGAATGAGCAATATATTGATATTCTTATATAATGTTACCTTGTAAATCACGATTCTTTGCAGCTTCGTTAGGTTTTCACTGAAAAGGAATTAGAATTGAAATAAAAGCTTAAATAAACAAAAACTAAACAGTTTTCATCGTTATAGAAGAAAAAGAAATATGTTTGAGAAATGAAAACCAGAAAGAATAAGCATGCAGAATGAATGTAGAACAAATGATAGGGCTGGAGTGGTGAAAAGAGAAATACATAATTATAAACACCTGTGTCTATCATCCAGTAAGTTCACACCTTCACCTTCAAGTCCGTAGAGTGTATGTCCTCTTTGAATCAACAGCATCGAGTTTCATAGCAACAGTTTCATACTCTGATAGTCTGAGTATGAGATAAAATTTCATAACTTAAGCATATATATTTTAACCAATAGACGAGAATTGTTAATACATACCTAATAATTATTAGTATTCTAACTTTTAAGAATACTTACATCTTTTTAATTCCTGTTTATTTGTCAAAAACATTTGCCTAAGTTTTTTATTCGAGTAATTACTTCTTCTCGACTATAGATACGAGTGTTAGACAAGGTTATATCGATTAATATATTTTTTAAATAGATACATATTAGTATTAATCCGAATGTTTCTACACAAGAGAAATTATGCTAGCTAGTCCGAAAAACTTGAAATTTAAACGATAAACAGTTTAATGATTTAGACAATATCAATAGCACCTTTATTTTTAACATATATTTATATTGATAATATTTTAGTAATCAAAGTCCTTGGTATTTAAATCTACATAAAACGGCTCCAAAAGTTCTCTTATTTTAATAACATTTTATAGCATCCCTTACCTCAGTTTGCTTATTGCTTTTAGTTACAGTATGGTGTAGATTTATATAACGTTTTCGTACCTGAGTTTATATTACATACATCTTCTTTACGTTTGTTGACTATAGTTCAAACATCCGCGGTGAAATGTACTGTAAGCACTATTGACTGACATTTCACGTTTTTTGTAAAGTACTTATTTAAGAAGTTACAGCTCTGTTTGTTTCTTTATGACTACATAAAACAAACAGCTGCGCTTTATAATGCTCCTCTTGTAAACTTCTATTAATAAATCTTTTTCAATTAACAAGTAACAGAAAAATGCATAAACGAAACTCGTAACGGTTTAGTTCTCTAAAAATAATATGCGATTAACTAAAAATCTCTTGCAATACTAAATATTTACATAAAGATTAACTAGACATGGAAAATGTCTACTATAAACCTAGAGTTTATTTTCGTTTTTAGGTAGACTTTTTATCTGACTCTCGAAAACTTCTGGAAACAGTTTACCCTTGGGATTCTAAGTTTAACGAACAAATTCATTTGGCTTGGAAGGTAACTGGGTCGTATTGCGTTTGACTGTGAAAACAAATCGATCCGGAACATTAGTTTGATAAATTATAATTATTATATAACAATTTTATTTTATTATTATTATTATATATTTTTGCTTTACCTAAGATTATGATATGTATTCGTGCACATTGAAGTGTTATGTAAATTATTATTATTATAACAGTTAAATTTAATGTAAATTTCTATTTTACTGTATTTTTTTACATATTTTCTGTGTCTACGTTTAGTTTACCTAACCAATGAAAGTAAAGGCATTCACATACAGTGGAATTTCGTTCCAGAATTCCGATTTGAAATATACTTTCCGAATTTCACAAGTAGTTACATCACACTTCCTCAACTTGAATGCCATTTCTTGCTAAATTAAAGCTTGAAGCATAAAACAATACCTATCTAATATTTTCTATTGAGTGACGAAAGAAATTCTATTTAGAATTTCTTTTTTCTTTTACTCGGGCATCATTCCTATTGTATTGTATTATTGTTACAGATCCGTCGTTGAGGCGACGGATGTTCAGCTGAACATGCGCGTTGGTATCCACACGGGGCGTGTGTTGTGCGGAGTGCTGGGATTGCGCAAATGGCAATATGATGTGTGGTCCAACGACGTTACGCTCGCTAACAATATGGAGGCGGGCGGGGAGCCAGGGTAATATACATATAATCATATGCTTACACCATAATCTTGTGTCAGATCTAAAGCTCCGTTTGAACTAAAGATATATGTTAGAGTTCGTAAGAAAAGTGTAAAAAAAGTAAAAAGATTAAAAGTTAATTCATGCCATTTGAAACGCACTTGTAGCATGACGAAATCGAAACGAGGCGAGTGTGAGATATTGTATTTATTTGAAAGAATCAAGCGTTATCTTGTCAACTATGAGACTAAGATATTAGCAACTTTCACACCCTGTCAGTATGCACCAAAGTCACAAGTGCCAACGGCAACAAACTCGCAAAAATCATCACTATATACGTGTTTCACCCTTCTTAACTTCTAGTATCCTTAGAAGTTACACTTTACAATGAGACAACATAGAAAACTTAGGGCGGCTTGCGCATCGTTGTTATATACAGTTTAAGAGCGACTTAAACGCATTTAGTCTGCTAAATATAATTAGCGTCTTGCACAACAAAAATTTGGGCCCTAATCACGTTTAACGAACTGTCAAAGTTAAATACCCAAAGATGGCTATTTAGCGTCGCTAAATACGTTTAGTAGCAATCACGCGTCTTTATTTTGAGGTTATAGAAATTTTACTATTATTTTATAAAAGATTGTAAAAAGTTCGTTAGGTAGTTTGTACGATGGATTTGTGGGAATTGTATTCTGACGACGATGAGGAGATTATAGAATGTATCAACAGACCGAGGGAATTGTTTGAGAGAGCAGACTTATTTGGAATGTATTCGGACGACAAATTCTTCAGAAGGTTTCGTCTAACGAAAGAAACCACTATAATTTTGTTCCAGCAAATGGCCCCACATTTACAAATCATAACAACACAATTTGTGTGACTTGACAACTAGGTTGACTAAATGTGGGAGTTGAAAGCTCGTCAGTCCATTTCACGCATTTTTTTTTTTAAGAAATGCAACCATTTTGCTCTAAGTCAAGTGTTCAACGCACGAAAACGTAAAAAGGAATGCAAAAAACTGCTTTACCGACTCCCTAACTACGATTAGTTAAATTACCATCCAAACGGACGTGAGCAAGACCTTTTTAATTGTATTTAGGCAAAACATATTTAGCAAGATAAACACATTCAACTAAATTCTGTTTAGACCAAATGTTGCGCAAGCCGCCCTTAATCGACAAAACTGTGAGACCTTTATGATAAACTGCTATATATTTTTGACTAATATCGTACAGACTCACGTTGAGAGCTCCCAAAACACTCGAGATACGTAAATTTGGTTTGCGTAGTCTCCCTTTGCTGTCGGTTTTTTAGTCCACTTCAAACCCTTTTTGAGTATAGTGCGTTGTGAGATGTCAATGTGACATCTGTACTTAATTGTTAGTGTGTTGATTGGATATTAAGTGGCCTTGTTCTATTTGGATTAATTTGTATATGTGGCCCTCATTTTTTTATCACTTTGAACAGAACCAGACTTTGAACCCACCGTGAGTGTGAACAGTGCACTTGAGGTGCGAATAATGCGCTCGGTAACTCTTCAAGTCTCACCGAGTCTTGTCTATGAGACTTCACGGCGTGAGTCTATACGGCATATTAGATAAGCTGTTTGGTACGTTAAAATTACCCACTACGCTGTTGTGTCAACAACAACACATCGTTTTGTTGATTGTACGGCCGTCGCCCACTCATGCGCGTTCGAACTGTGTCACAATTTTGGTTCAGAAAAGCTTGTACAAACTTACATATAAATCTTTGCTTAATACCTTTAATTTCACAGGCGAGTGCATATCACTCAGGCTACGCTTGATAGCTTGGGTGGTGCGTACGAAGTAGAGCCAGGCCACGGCGCTAACAGGAACGCTTACCTAAGGGACCATTCAGTGCAAACTTACTTCATCATTCCCCCACCGAGGCGGAGAAAAGTAAGCAAAAGTGCTTGTAATGCCCAATCAAATTGTTTGTACCGTTTTTCTTTCGTGAAAATAACCATAATCATCTGATAGAATAACATACATCATATTCATGATTTTATAATATGAGAATAATTAATTTATGGCTCAATATATAATATATCTAAATAAAATATGGTCAGGCATTTCAAAACTGGCTTCGAAATCGGCTTTTGTGGATGTTCACTATTTCCTCCACGAATGGAAGACTGGTATTTGAAATCCCATTTTTACTCGACGGCTTTTATATGCCTTTATGCTGTTTTCGATATTAAATTATTAGTTTTGTTTATAATTCAAAATAACTGGAAAAATCTTCCAAATAATAAAAAAATATTTAGCCGACATATTTATGTCATCGTAGAAGACAAAAAGGATAAAAATTTAAAATATTTTTGTTTGTTAAAAATTAAACAAACTTGAAAAGCGTGAAAATTAACACAAATTTTAAATGCGGTTCATATTTATGACAACGGTTATAACTTCTAATGAAATCTGATTTTTGAAGTCTGGAATATTTTCTGATAAAATTTGCAATTTATGTTCATTAGAGAGATTGAATACTCAGATCAAATAATTTGCGTAAACTATAAGTAAAATCACAACTGTTGTATATATATTTTTTTAGAAATGCTTACAGAAAGGATGTCCTCTTTCCCATCTCTAACCAAACCATATCTATCTCATACATGACGTTAAGAAACTACTAACTTTTTACTTCAATTTTCAGATGTGCCTATCAGCCGGTGTCGGTTTGGGCACGGGATCTCGTCGAAAATTATCTTTTAAGAACGTCTCCAACGTTGTCGTACAATTACTACACTCAATTAAATTCAACGTGGACGTCCCCTTCTCCAACATGGCTGCCTCTCCCCAGGAGCTCAAAGCCAACGCAGCTAGAAAGGTACTTATCAAAGCATATGTTTTAAACATAGTTTTTCACCTGGGAAATTGTTGAAGGACAAATAAATAATAATATACAATTTGTTGTCTATCAAATGTATTAAAAGGCAACGGAATGATAAATATGATAATACAAGTGGTATAAACTTGTGTACACATTGGTAGTCTTCAAAAATATCTTGAGAGTAAAATTGTTAGGGTATCGTTACAACGAAGAATGTTACTTATATTTTTTTGTTAACCGATAAATTTATTTTTAAAAGCACAAGTAAGTTTCGCAATGCACACTGACATGTCTATATAGTACGAAGAACATGTCCTCCGGCTTTTATACTTCAGGTATTCTCAAAGTGTGTTGTTTCTCGGTATTCTATCGGCTCAGTGAAAGGTAAGTTCTGTTTATATTTTTCTTGAGATAACATTGTTATTTGAAGTGTGTTATTTTGTGTATTGTAGTATTACTATTTTGTTCTTTGGATGTAAGTTTTTTACAAAGTTCTCGTTTAATCTGAAAGAAATTCTGTTAACATCTTATTTATAGTGAAAACATGTTTGAATAAAGCTTTTGGAAGTAATGCAATTAAAGAATTCCTTTGATAAGAACCCAGGCATCCATAATTTTAATACATAGTTAATTAAGACTAACCTTTAAGCGTCCGTTATCAGTTTATACTAAGTTAAACTATGGCCAGAACATATAAAAAAAAATCATTTGAAATCACCACAAACTGAAATATAGTATACACAAAAATTAAATTTCCTTTCGCTTGGAATTTTGCATTGCAGTAGGTATTATTGAAAATAATATGAAACAACATAAATAATTTCAAAGTGTATATATTATATTACACAGCATATCATTATCACAGAATTCTGATGGATTTTCCTTTTTATTACATAAACTTTCTTTGATAGTAATAACTGAGTATATAGCTACGTTACTAAATAGATACCTAGTTCTGTGCATTTTGATCTACATGGTACATAGCGTTGGACTATTCAATGTGAATCTGGAGTAACTCACTTTCTAAATGTAAAAAAAAAAACAAATGGTGTCGTGTTGCTGGAAATTTAATCTGTATCAAATGCTACTCTGATCCTTTATCAGGATCTATAGGACTTTTGAATTAAGTTCGAGTTGATGAGCCATATTATGCACGAGCTGTTAATGGATCCAATGGAACACTTCGGTACACTTCTTTAGTTGTGATTACAATACATGTATTTTTATTATATACTAGCTGCTTTCCCGCGACTTCATCTGCGCAAATTATAGCCTATGTCACCCGCGTATGATGTAGCTTTCCATAGGTGAAAGAATTTTTAAAATCGCTCCCGTAGTTCTGGAGCCTATTTTATCACAATACCCTTCATATCCTTCTATCCTTTATCACATTTTTACCCTTTATCACAATACAGTAAATGGCGGACCTAATGCCATACAGTATTCCCTACCAGTCAACCAATAAGGGTGTCAAGCCTAAGGGCGCAACAATGAGAAATAAAGAATGGCTTACATAAAATAACACATTAAAATAAATATACACAAGCATACTATAAATATACAATACAGAACATAGACCAGTCTCTTAAATACAACTTTGTTGGGAGCTTTCATAATGTTAAGGGGATAGTCTATTAGATGCAAACGACAATCAAATCTCTCCCTTTTATTTATATTACAATCTTAATTATGGATGTGTGAATCATATAAAAGGACTCAAAACAACATGACATTACTAAAGACAAGATATTCAATCACTGTTATTTTTTTTAATAAAATGTATAAACTGATGACGTATATTAGATATAATAGATTTGATAGAGCAGTGGGGCACAGCTATTATGTGTGTTAGGTGCTGGACCTGCGGCGGGCGTTGCACGCGGAGCCCGGCTCTGCGGAGGCGTTGCGGTTGGCGTCGCTTCGCGCGGAAGACGTGAGCGCAGCGCTGCACCCCCCTGCCCCCCACCAGCACACCTTCGACGCCGTCATGCAGCACCACCTGCGAACGCACCCCACGGTCCACATGGCACTTACGCACTTACCTAGCGTGCAGCTTTACGTCACAATGCTCCAATTTCAAATCATTTTTCACAGTTCCCAATTCAAATATTTATATTTCATTTTTTTTTGTTTTCTATGTCAATTCATTTAATGTATAATAGTAATATTTTCACTTGTTGTTTACTAGAGGTTTTACGAATATATTAATAAATTGTGTACTATACGAGTCTCACCACCATTTGTGAACTAGTGTAGAATCGATAGTTAATAATACCTTTATTGGACAGCTTTAGGTTTCAAAGTGTAGTTTGCTTAAAAAGGACACTTAAAACTTTAAAGGCCATTAATAACAATATAAATGACATGGGGTATTAAGAACACATACTTTTTATTAGTTAACATTTCTGCTAAAATTATATATATTTAGTATCTAAAGTGACGTAAGACTGCATAGCTCTCTTAGAACTGTGCGCAAATCCTAAAAGCTCGCACGCTCTAGTTAATGTAACAATAATAATGTTTGCGAGTTTCTGCACTTAGGGATGATAGAATATGGTTCGCAAACTAGGTTTAGACATAGGAGCAAAACAAAACCATATTGCTACCTTTCCCGCGGTTTTATGATTTTCGCTTTTTGATTTTTATAAAGAGGTCGAGTCTTGATACGACTTGGCTTTTAACGATAACCTCGCTTCATGGTTTCTTTGTAGTTAGTTGGTTTTTGAGTGATGGTTTTACAAACTAAATCTATGCTTTCTCTCTTAAAGGTGTGCACTGGAGCTTCGTAAATTAATATAAGTATTATTTACGAGCAAAATTTTCGCTTCAAATCTAATCACGAACTTAGTGGCAGTTCATATTCATTTGTCCTTTTGAATACAATGTCTTTTCGGCACAGTTCTTTTTATCATGTACCCCACGACACTTCCAATTTTGTTGCTGGTTTTCAAATTTTCACACACTGATGTATCATTTCTGTCATAAAAAATACTTGCCGTAATAATAATATCAATAACCATTTAAATAAAAAAACAAAAACTTTTTTCAATATTTAAAAATGAATCAAACCTCTATTGGACATTGTATTGAACCTCTTTGGGGCGATGACATATCTTCACAGTACACTAGTAAGCCCATAAATGGAACATAGCGTGGAAGACTCAAATACACCAGCAATTAACATGGGTCTGCTCGTTGTTTTTCAGATGTTCCGACCTTGGACATTAGTTCCACAACAAATACCCGCTGAAACCGTAAGCGCAGACATAATATGTTGTTCGTGTGTATTACTGTTTTCCACCTTTGCACCGGGCAAATTACACAAGTTACCCCATAAAATATAGTAGGTTTATGGATCGCACCTTAAAGCGAATTATGAGGTACATTTCTCATCATAAATGGATGAGATAAAAAGTGCGAGCAATCAAACAGTTTAAATAAATTATGTTATTTATTGGGAATATTTTAATTTCGGAAATGTCATTGTTATTTTATTTGATAAATAAAGTCGACCGCACCGAACTGTGTTTCACTGGCCTCCCTTCCCCTGATACTTCCACCTTTGCACAGGCATGGCATGATCCTACGCTGCCGATGTAATTGCATGGAATAAACCATTATTTCTCTAACATACTAAGAGTGAACTAGTGTTTGATTAATTCTTCTATATTATATCCGCGAATATAATTTAATAGAAATAATCATTCGCTCTTTAGTTGTAAGATATTATCATAATGTAAATATGTTCTAAGCATAGTCCAATATCAGTTATAATTATCTTCATAGATTTCCATAAAATTCAATATCTACTTGAACTTCTATCTGATCTTTACTATTTATTCTACTAATGTGATGCTGCTTCGGAGATTGGATCTTTTTGATTATAAGGTCAGTCATTAGATGTTTGGAGCATGGAGTCGGCCAGCATGAGGTGTACTAGTGTGCCCAGACCTCGTCGGCCCCTTTTGTGATCCCATCCGACTTCAATGTTGTAATGTTGACCTTAACTCTATATCATAGGACACGGGAAGATGTTAGAAGGGTATTATAAGGGAGGGTTAGGCAAAGACGCTCATAAAGATATGAGCAAATGTTTGTATACCATCACGAATACGTTCATAATCGAAATGTATGTACAAGCCATTGCGTTTGTAAAAGTGTTATATGTAATATATAATACGAGAAAAAAAGTAGAGTTTCGAGTTAATTTTGTAATTTTTGGCGATATTTATAAATCCACGTTTTGGCCCAATTACATGATTTAAATATTCATGTAGTTATTTGGTCTTTAAATTACAGTTCTTTTTTTTTTGTTATTGCTTTTAGTAAATACGTAAATAAGTAAGTGAGATCAGACTGAGGTAATATCGCTGTTTTATTCAAAGCTACAATTCTAACCTCTTTTCCTGCTCTGATCATTGTATCCGTGAGTCCCTCAACAGCAACTATTCAAGATGGCGGTGTTGATTTGAATATGGAACGTCCACAGAATAAGGTCACGGAGAAATTTAAGCGGCCTCTGAAAAAGCGTCATTCGTCTGTATACCACCAGCCCACGAACCGCGTGAACAAATACCTGGCGCAAGCGATCGACGCTCGATCCGTGCACCGCGAGAAGGCGACGCATGTCCATCTGCTGACGCTCTGTTTCAAGGACCCCGCTAAGGAGGCACAGGTATTAAGATTCAACTATTCTGATGCTTCAAGAAAAAACTACCGAACTAAACTCATGATATGAAAAAAGTCATTTTTTTATTTAGCTATAAAATTGTACATTACGCCGATGTATTGATATGCAAGTCCTATTTGGTCGCCCTTGTTATGCTCTGCAAATTAATCGTCTTGAACGCATACAAAGTAAATTTATAAAACATCTTCATTACAAATTTTAGAAAACGACTGGGTAAAGCTTATGAAATATTTCTAAACTTTTGTTATTTTGTTTCTGTGGTTTGTAGTAAGTAACAAGAGTGATACGTCAGATGTCCTTCATATTATTGAGATTTAATATAAATTCTTTGCATTATAACGTTTGCAGTACCGGGCATCCACGGACGGTGGTTGGGCGGGATCGTTAGGTGCAGCTTTGGGTGCGCTGGTAGCAGCTGGTGCGCTTCAAGCGGCTATCCTGCCGCGTACTACTATTGTGCTGCTATTATTCGTGACCGCCTTCGCGTGGTCAGCAGCGGTGCTGGCGCTGACGTTAGCAGCGCGCTTGAGACTTGTGCCTTGTGACGTTTCTCGGCCTTTTGCTCTACGGAACGCGATCACAACATTTACTATAGTGCTGGGTTACGCGGTTGGACAAGCCAATGTGGTGAGTCTCAGCTCATTCAAATTATGATTCGTATGTACGAAATGAATGACAATTCGTCGCTTTGAATATCATGATAGAGACAGATTGGTGACACAAGTATATATGCACAAGTTATACCAGGAAATAAGCATACCGTATCCTTGAACAAAACACTGATTGAGTTATGATTGTTTACTATGGTTAATATGTCAATGTTTGGATTAGTTTCACATATGACTTTTAAAAATAACTTAGATTTTATTTAAATAGCTTAATATAACGTTATATTATATCAAATTATATTTTGGACACGTGAGTTCATGGACTTTCAGAAGAAGCTTGCAATGAGATTTTTTTCTTATTTTGCATTGTTTAACCCTTTATATACATATAAAATTTACTTAGCTTGTACTGTTTTAGTGCTTTACACTATTTCAGGGATACTCTATTCAGTTAAAATTTGTAAGTTTAAAGAGGTTTAAAAAAAACAAAACAATTATAACACCAGGTAACATGTCGAGAAGTGAACGTTTGCAAGAATCTCACAGAGAACATAACGACCATGGACGAGATAAGATTTATGAGTGGTGACGTGGCCGCCGCCCTGTGGAGCAGTTCCGATCACCGCGCTTGTCCAGTGCCTCTGTATATCACGCTCGGATGCTGTCTCAGCATGCTGACCGTTGCGGTGTTCCTACGGCTACCTATACTAGTCAAAGGGGTACTCCTAGCTGTCATCACCGCAGGATACATGGCCGTCATAATGGCTTATCATAAGGATCTGTTCGATTGCTACGATCTGATTACAGAGTGAGTACTTCTTTATACGTAAATAATTTTAAGAATTGATTTGGACGTTCTACTAAAATTTTCTTTTTCATATGAGTGCCTCGATGTATTTTCAATGAAGTGTTCTCTGAATTTAAAGCTAAGTATATCTATGTAGTTGTTTTTCTATATTAATATTATAAAGAAAGAATAAGCTCTGAAATTACTGGACTGATTTATAAATACAGTGACCTCATCATTCGCGGGTAAAATAGGTTATAATTTATTTAATCCAAGCCTATAATTTACGCGGGAAAGCAGCTGGTGTATTTTTGCTAAGTAAACCTAGTTGTGAAACAACAGTTATGTGTTGTTGTGCAACAGAATGTAAAGTCAATATAAAAAGCACAAAACAAAGTTGTCATATATTACGTCCGATATGCATCGCTTAGCAACCTCAGTTTGTTATGTCATTGCCAAAAAAATATGGAAATAGATAGTTAACATTAGGAACTATTATTTGTGGATCGCCATCTTTTATTCATTTCAATTTCATTTTACATAAAAAAAATATTTTACTCACTTGACATTGGCAGAATTATGCGAAATGCGCAGATAAACCATTAATAGAAAAAGAAGAAGAAGATTCAACATTAATTACGTGTATTATTGATATATTATAAAAGTAAACATTTTAAAGTTGTTAAACAAACAATTTTGCTGTAAGAGGTTCATTTGCAGATCCCTCGGCTATTCTGTAATAGTTGAAAGCCAGCGACTTGTAAAAGTAAAGAATAGTGGCTTAACAGCGGAACTTCAAGCCCTGCAATCCTATTCTTTAATAAAATTACCCTTGAATTCGCAGCAAGCACATATCTGTGAGCTCAGAGCTTCAACCAAATAAAACCTTTATTACCATTTCGAGTAGGTTTCGAGTTCGAGGCTACACGGAGCCGCTGTACTCTTTGTGCCGCTTCGACGTTTTATAGTTTTACAATAAAAACACGATTAAATGAAAACAGTTTTGTATATATACAAATTACTTGTGTTTACTTACTGAATCTTTTAGTTTTTTGTTTTGGATTATTTCACACTTTCTTGGTCCTTTTAAGGGTTTTGTATGTCCTCAGGCCCGGTATAGTTGGTTCAGCGTATATAGCATCAGCGTGGGCGCTCGCATTGGCACTGGCAGTACTATTACACGCGCGGCAAACTGAATGGACGGCGCGTCTAGACTTCCTGTGGCAGGCGCAAGCGCGTGATGAGAAACGAGATATGGATGCGTTACAGGTAATGTTGCTCAAACATTTATTTATTTATAACTGTATAAATATTATTGTAAAAGTATAAACTATGCTTTCAAAGAAGGGTATATTTCAACAAGAAAAAAAAGTGAATTATATGGGTAACTGTCTTTTTTTACCAGTAAGAAAATTTTATAAGTTTTTGAAAGCTTTAACTGTTAGAAGCATGATTTGTTTTTTTTTCTTATTTGGTCACTACTTCTTTGTACAAAACCAACACTGAAAGTTGGTAATTTTTATTCTTTAAAAATGTCAGTATCGAGCTCCACGTCGAGCACGCTAAATAAAACCTACTTGAAAAAGTAATAAAGACTTTATTTAATCGAATCTCTTTGGTGTGACAGCGCTGTGTTTTTATTACAGAATAGCAACGTGTTGTTAATCATTTCGCTCTTAACCTTCACTTAATATCATTGTGATACTGGAATTAGTTTTTATGCTAGAAAGAGAATTTTATTATATTCACCTTGCTCTTTTGTATTTCAGGCTTCAAATAGAAGGATCTTGTTCAACCTTCTTCCCGCTCATGTGGCAACTCACTTCTTGGACAACCAGTTCAGAACTAATATGGTAACTATCTTATGCAAAATAGTTCCAATAATATAACAACTATTAATGTTTTATTATGTTAATTAAACATGGAACTATATTGTATTATTGTTTTCTGTGTTTTCTCTGTCACCCTTTATGTCTAAGAGAAGGTATATTTTTTATCTTGTCAGTAATGTAGATCAGCTTTAAACGAAATTAAGCTTCTTATATTTTAAATATTTCTAATTGCCTATTTGTCTATGGTATTTTTATAATTGTACACGATCATGCAAACTTTGCTAATTTAATACGAACGAACGTACGACGTAATTAACTACATCCATCTCTTTAGTGCCCCTATTGAAACATTTAGCGTTTTATTGTTTTTAGTGTTTTACATTAAAAATCGTATGCAATCATGCAATTAAATAAATATTTATTTTATGTGTCTTCAGTTTTAATTTATCGCACGATTACAATAACGAGAGTATAGAGACGCCACGTTTTGTACTACGACCTCATCATCAGCCGGAAGACGTCCACTGCTGAACATAGGCCTCCCCCTTTGAACGCCACGATGGACGACATTGCGCAAGCTGCATCCAGTGGCCGCCCGCGACTCGGACGATGTCGTCCGTCCATCTAGTCGGGGGTCGACCCACGCTGCGTCTTCCGGTTCGTGGTCTCCACTCGAGAACCTTTCGTCCCCATCGGTTATCGGTTCGTCGAGCGATGTGGCCTGCCCACTGCCACTTCAGCTTACATACTTTGCGAGCTATGTCGGTCACTCTAGTTCTTTGGCGAATATCCACGTTTCGGATCCTATCGCGCAAAGAAACCCCTAACATAGCTCTCTCCATGCCTCGCTGAGCGACTCTGAGCTTCTCTAAGAGGCCAGCAGTTAAGGACCACGTTTCAGTGCCATAGGTCATCACTGGCAACACACACTGGTTATACACCTTCGTCTTTAGGCACTGTGGTAATTTGGACGTGAAGATATCGCGTAGCTTCCCGAACGCTGCCCAGCCGAGTTGGATTCTTCGAGCGACCTCTTTGTCGAAATTGGATCTACCTAACTGGATTGTCTGTCCAAGGTACACGTAGTGATCGACAACTTCGAGAGTATCAGTTCCAATGACCACCGGTACGGGTGCAACATGGACATTCGACATGATTTTCGTCTTGTTCATGTTCATTTTAAGACCCACCTGTTTGGAAACGATACTCAGGTCGCTGAGCATTGTACTGATGTGCTCCATTGATCTTGCCAAGATGACTATATCATCGGCGAAACGAAGGTGAGTGATGTATTCGCCATTGATGTTGATGCCGTATTCGACCTACGTTGTCAGATTCCTGGGATAAATAATCTAGGCACACTAGTATATTTCAAACACCATTGAAAAATAAAATAAAAAAAGGAATAATCATAAACCAATAATAGATCTATGATAATCTCTATTCGAACGATCTTTGTAATAAACACCGCTAAAAAGGTTAGAAACATATTCAATCTTTTTCTTCTACCAAACTACATTTCAAATGCTTTCGATTGGACAAAAAGGGTGAATTTTTTACGATAAATAAGGCATTTGCTGTGTTAACTAATGCTTCGCGGCTATTCTACGATCATTTTTGTAACAAGCATGAAATATGTGTTCATTCATTCGATCATTCATTACACCGCTTTAAGTATATGAGTTTTCAAATCAAATATCTAAAGGTTTCTAATTATTTCACATTATCACAATACAAAATATTGCAGCCTTCACCGCATTTCATTCTTTGCCACACTTGCCTCGCATCGTTTGTGTATGTGTACGAACACTGCTTCTTTTGTATGTCGCACAATACAAGGAGATGGGGCCAAGTGACATAAATATCTAAACAATTCAAAGTTACAATCTTTTCTTACTATTTATACTGTAATAAAAATATAGGATGAGAATATACATAAATAACATCAAACTGTGTAATTGTAAAAGCAAATCCTAAACGAGGAACTCTGAAGCTTGGCATTGGCATTCTCACTGCTTTTGTCAATAATTGTGGAACTAAAAGATATTGAGTTAGATTGTTTTGTGATACACCATGACATTTTAAAAATGAATCACTGCTGTTACAAAAGCTTTTGTCATTTCAATTTTCACCGTTTTGTTTTACTAATCAATAAAATTTTAACGAGATATACTGAAAATATTTTTAAAGTAGGTGAATAATACGCCGAGGTATGACTGAACTCAAATAGCATACACGGCATCTGTACCAAATTCACTATTAATATTTTAATTTACAAAATTGCAATTTGTAAATGTTACTTTTGGAAAGTTTTCAAGATTTGAATATTGCCATAGGTACAATAAAATACTAGTATGGTCTTAAAAAAGATATAATAATTAAATTAGTCAAGCTGTAGTGAATTAGTGAGTAGTTAATAAGCATGTTGTCACGGCCCCTGACTTGTTGGCCCGCTTGCCCTGACGCAAGAGGCGCGGTTGGCAGGATCTCTACCACCAGTCGTACCAGCGCGTGGGAGTGGTATTCGCCTCCATCACCAACTACCACGAGTTCTACATGGAATTGGACGGGAACAACCAGGGCATGGAGTGTCTGAGGCTGCTCAACGAGATTATCGCCGACTTCGATGAGGTGAGAATTATTTCTTTGACTTTATCTATTTATACAAGTTTTATTTTTAGATAGAGTGTTTATCATAGATTGTGCCGATTTTGTTTTAGCAGATCAATCGGTAGTACATATAAGATATAAGTATACTAGGGTAGAAGTGACAAAATTCGAGCTGGAAAAGGCAGAAATATACTAAATGTCCATGGCCATTTCTTCTCCAAAAAAAGTAAACAGTAAAAGCAAAATTTCTAAATCTTATAAAACACTGGATTAATAGTGTAAAAATAGGAATTTTATATTAATTTTATTTCAAACTGATTAAGTTTTTCATGAGAATTATTGTTAAAAACGGGTTTGCAACCATGTTTTACGTGATCATTAATATAATATTTGGATTAACGAGTGTTAATTTTAAAAATATTAAAAAACTGCGTTTGTGCGTCTACGTTTGTATAAATTTTAATAACTGTAAAACTATGGTATTTTCCAAATCTTGTGAAAGTCTATTGCTATATCTGTGACTGTGATATCTAGCAACTTTAGTTATCTCTAGACCTTCAACTCTGAAATGTGCATCTCTCGCACACAAATTCGTATGCACAACCAACAACAACAGATCTTAGAGATACTTACATTGCTAAATAACAGTTTGACGTTTACAGCAATGAACGTCAACAAGGTAACGTCTATTTTATTATATATGAAATTCCAATCATAATGAAAATATGTATTTTCTCGTTCTAGCTGTTAGGAGAAGATCGTTTCAGTGCGATAGACAAAATCAAAACTGTTGGATCCACGTATATGGCAGCTGTGGGTCTGATACCCGATAAGAAGATGATGGACGAAGCCAGCGCACGGAAGCATATGGCTACACTCGTCGAGTTCGTGTTCGCCATGAGAGATAAACTAAAAGATATCAACGATAATTCCTATAACAACTTTATGTTGAGAGTGGGTTAGTATACATTGCATACAAATATGCATGTATATTATAGAGGTACTGTTAATAACTTTGGACGTCGAATCTTCGAAACAACTCATCATCAGATTACAAAAATACTTATTTTGCTAAAATTTAGATCGGAAATTCGGAATAGTTCTAGGCTATGCTTTATTGAGTGCAGATAGTGTTCTAGTGCTTATAACTGTTGCTTTCATGTGATTTACGGGTTTTAAAGAAATAAAAATAAATGAATAATTTTTTAAAATACATAACCGATCGCAATGTGTATATTTTATAACAAAGGTATTTTATTTTGGTAAGGTCTACACAAAAATATCAAATCATTCAAAAATTATTTAACATTTTTTTTTCCATTTTATTGATAGTGCTTAAGTGTTTGCATTAATTACTTTCAGGTATCAATGTGGGGCCAGTAGTGGCTGGAGTGATAGGTGCTAGAAAACCCCAGTACGATATATGGGGTAATACAGTCAATGTTGCGTCTCGTATGGATTCAACTGGGTTGCCGAACCACACCCAAGTCACCGAAGAGGTGTACCAAGTCCTCAAAGACATGCCTTACCAATTCGTGTGCAGAGGCAAAGTCAAAGTGAAAGGCAAAGGCGAAATGACTACGTACTTCCTGACTGATAGAGCGCCATCTAACGGAACAGGACTGACTTCTTCTAACGGACAACCTCAGAATCCTCCTACAGCGTACGGTGGGGTGGCAACACCACTCGCTATGTTGCAGAACTCGGCTAGAAGAGCTGCAGCTCAACCATCCAGACTTCCACCTGTTAGGGAAACATCAGTAGCCGCCGAAAACGAACCTCTACTTCCATCTAACGGCCACCAAAATAACGGGAACAATCATAAAGGCAGTAAAGGTAGAAGAAACAAAGATGAAGAAACTCCGCCTCCTCCGCCGCCACATGGGATATCGGGGAATCCAAGATGGCCGCCGCCTCGAGCGTTAGTGCCTCCATGGCCTCGACCTCAGGAGTCTCGTCCTCCTGTAGTACATAAAAGGAGAGCTCCCACGAGGCTACCTCGACCGCGATCGAGCGAGAGTCTACCTTTAGCGCGTAGTCCTCGAGTCCATTCATCTGCCGATGAGCTGAGTTCTTTAACGCGATCGCCGAGTCTCAGTTCTTCAGACGAAAGCTATTCAAGAACAACAGACGCTTCACCATCACCTCCTCGACCTCATAACCCACAATGGTTACCTTCACAACGGATCAACGCTCTGCCGGCATACGATTACCCACCTGTCAGAAATGCTAAACCGAACCCTAACCACATTAATGAAATATACGCTAAACATAAACCGAGTAAAAAACCTTTGGACGATAAGTTCGTAGACGGTAGTATTAACTTCCAAAAAGAGGAGGAGAAATTACAGAGAAGTATAATAAATATGTTGCAAGCTTCCGCTAAGAGAGATGGTTGCTGTCAGACAGACAAGAAGGTGAGCGAACGGTTGACGAACCGAACGAATTCATTTTCGAGTTCGGGCAGTAGACCAAACAATCTGAAGCATCTAAATCATGATAGTAGAGAATTGTTCACTAAAAGAAGTCCGACGGACGTGGCTTGCGTACCGCCATTCGAGAGAGAGATCCAAAGGCTGCTCGATGATAAGAATCGTATTAAAAACGTTCCACAAAAGTCTGAGAGAAAAGAACTAAAGTTGGAGCTTAGGTAAGTTTAAGTTTCATTCACTTTTAGTAATTATGTTGCAACATTTTAATTGAAAGTAAATTTGAAAATGAAATTAAAGCTTAAGTCTTACTTTTCTTTACTTACTCCATTTTAAATGCTGTCAGTATTAGTACCTAATTTTAAATACTCAAGTCATATATGTGAAAATGCATTATGAATTTTATTTATAAACTATCGGCCGGTTTCTGCATTCAGAAACTAAATCTCAATTAATTGTTCTCAATAACTAAAGTTTTTTACTTTTCACGAGGCAAAAAATCTTAGTTCAGAAACGAAAACTTGTTTAAGTGGAGTTTGAGACGTGCTTAACCTTAAATACTCAATTCGGATACCAGCTTATTGAATAAATCTTTACAAAAATGGTAAGGGGCCAATATGATGGTAGATTCAGTTCATATCGAGTGCATTTATTACATGAAACACTCTAGGGGTCAAAATCCAGCTTTGGAGCCGCTGCGCAACTGTAACAACAATAGCAGCCCATTGCACGCGGTGGGTTTGGCGGCAATAACGCAGTTGGTGCGGACCGCCTCCGTGCCCGCGCCCGCTCCCGCCGTCGCTCATGCGCCCGCGCCCGCCGCTGGCACGCCCACGCGCCCGCATGACTTCCCTGGCGTTTTACCTACAGATGTGGTCGTGCAACTACCCTCGCCTTATCACTCCGTCGGGAACGGTGCTAGGTAACTTAATTTATTTTTAATTACTAACTTAAAATAATTTCAAATAAAATTGTCGCCCCTTAACTTCTCTCTCAAATTAGCATTAATATTCCGTCGAAATCAGTTAGTACACTACGATTAGTTTACCTGTGGCATCATTGAAGTTTGAATGAATTGTGAAAGTTAGAAGACTTCGATATATTTCATTGTATTATTTTGAGGGCTAGAAGATTGATGAGCGATGATTTTTGTTGAATCTTAGTGAGCATGCATTAGTTAGCATTTTAATTGCAAGTATTTTATTACACTCAAAAGTTATGTTATCTTTTTCTGGTGTAAGTAATGTTCGTCTGTTATAATTGTCCACTCTACGAAACCTATGTTCACTATAATTGTTAATTAATTATTACTATTTCTAATTGTGAAAACCGTTAATTGTAACTTAATTTGATGTCAACATGTGCTGTTGGTATTCCCGAATATGTAATAAGGCGGTTTTTAATTTTCTTCTGAACAATATTTTATTTTGTATAGTTTTTTAGTCACAGAAAATAATTAAATATATACGCAGAGTTTAATTAAAAATAATTGAGTAATATGAACGTACAAAGGATTATAGATAGGCCAAAAGAAAACATTGTATAAAATACACTGACATATTGGCATACATATACTAGTTCTAGATACAAATTATATATACCAAGGAGTACTCATATCTAACATTGTTGCAGTCCACCTTGTGAACGAAAAGCTGAAGCGACTTCTTCTATGGATAAAGAAGAAAAAGAAATTCAAGAACGACTGCACAACCGGGTAAATGGCAATTTTTATATGCTTCTTCTAAGCTTCTTTTCACGCTGTGTAGCTACGATATGCAGTTTTTTTATATGAGTAAATATAAAATGAAATATTTTTTCAATCCTTATATAAATTAATAAGGTTATGACCAGAGGTCGGAATTAGGTAGAGTTATTTATGTACTTGCATCGAAATGTTGATATTAATGTGGACCTTCCCGGGATTTCTTTATTTCTTCTTTCTTTATTTCTTTCTTTCATTGATGTAAGTTTGGCAACGTAGTGCGTGCAGTAGTTTAAATTGTGTAAAAGTAAATAACTTTTTATTTAAAAAAACACGGGATTTTTTCTGCTCTTTAAAATTAATCTCGGGATTTGAGGCATATCCACTTTATTCTTTCTCTGTATGAAATCAGTGTAAGTACATGAATAACTCTACCTAATTCCGACCACTGGTTATGACGCCCCATTTTGGTATTTCTCGGAATGTTTCATTACACTTTAATTCATTCCAATGTATCGGTCAATATTGAAATGACAACGTAACAGTCAACCTTTATCCTCGCGTCAGGTAACCACTTCGAGTCACAGAGAAATGGGAATCTACGGCGAAAGTCAGTCGGAGTGGAGTTCGTCATGTTCCGAGGGCGAGGGCGAAGGGGAGGGGGGACAACCGGAAAGCACTGGATATACGACAGACGATCCGGCTTTGGAAAACGTCTCTATGCTCAACGAGGCAGGTCTTACCGACGCTGAGGCTGCGCTCAGTGACGTCAACTCTTGCTACTTCGATCGAGACGATGACGTATCATCGCGTGCGTCATCACGCCTCCTAGACTCCGAAGCGCTCGTATCCCTTGAATCCCTCAGCGCCATCTACGACTCCGACGAGCCAGCGCACAGATACTTAGCGAACATTCGCACCGTCAGTGAATCGATCACGAGGAATTTCGGACAACCGGCTCACGTCACCGACGGCGAGAGTGATGTCTAATCACGTAAGTGATGTTAAACTCTAATTCAAATCAAAACCCTTTCGGTTTTAATTACGAATATAATGTGATAGCGAAGAAATCTCAAAACTGTCAATCGAGTGAGATCCGTTTAGTGTAAGCGACTTTCGGTTTGGCTCTCTAGTATCTATAAATCGTTATTCGTAACCAATACTCACGAAAGGTGATCCTAATATGGCATTGTTCTTGAACGTTGAAGGGAAGAGTTTGTTTTTGACCCCCCTTTATACTTTAATCGTTGTCATTGACCTACGATGTGCCTGTTTTGTAATGATTTTACGGTGTAAATTGTGTCGATATGTACCTAATACTTACCTGTATAATTAAAAATGTATGATATTCATGTACAGCCGAAGTGCCATGTGATGGCTCGTGAATCATCAATTGACTATGCGATGATCTCTACAATTATAAGGTGCTCTGAATTAGAATTATTTGTGGTTCGTCTTGTGATAATTGTAAAGGAATTTGCACTCGAGCGACCAATCTCTGTAGAATCCTGTATTTAGTTTTAGGGCTGGCCCCTCTGGTCTTATACGGTAGACTCTAGGAGATAATGTGTTTGTCTCGAAATCATCACTCAATGAGCTTCATGGGTGTCGTGTATTATATAATAAACTTGCATTTCAATTTTTAGCATAAAATATACTGTTACCATAGATAAACAAACTGGAGTAATATTATAAACGATTTGTTGATATAATGTTTCAAGTTTCACATAACTTTCAGTGCAATTGTATTTGTTTTACAGTATTATGTTGTAAGGAGAGATATTTTGTGTATTAAACTGTCCCCGATAAGCCCCAAGACGCTCTATTGTAACATATTTATATTCACCGTTCTCTTGAATTTATAGTCGAGTCACTGAGAGATCTCATTGATTCTAATACTTTATGGTATAAAGGATTACATTATATTTTAAGACAATGCAATTTATTTTTTTAATAATATATGAGTCTATGCCTACATGATTAATTAGAAGTAACACTACACATTGTAATGTGTTTTAAAATATTATTATATCATAGGTATACCTATAATAAAAGAATTGTAATATTGTCCATCGCAATGTCACTTAGAAGTCTATGCTTATTACAGTGATCTCTCGGCGGTTCGTCTGTAGATATCTAGTCACTGATCCAAGAACCCGTTCCAAATAAGATTCATTGGAATATCGTTATCGGTCCAAGTATAGGTGCCATTAAATTAATAACTTTTATTATGTATGTATCCAATATTTTTATTGTTAGTTTTCGGGACTGTATGTAAAATAATTATCTCTATGATTTGTAATTTGTAATAATAATAATTATAAGATAAACAGAGTCAAAGTCAAGAATGTTTCACATAAAAATGAAGTGTTCTGACAGTTTTTATTTCGAATAATTAATGATAAATGTTTAAAATACATAAGCAAGTTTCATGGTCAATTTATTCAATTAATATTTATGTAGGACTCGTTTCACTGTTCGAATAGGTCTTAAAATGACATAGAACTAATTTAAATTTACATTTAAACTTTAATTGCACGTAATGTACTTAAAGAACTTATGGGGTGTAATGTCTTTATAAGAGATGGCTGGTCGCGGAACAGAATTTGTTTTCTTAACATTAAATATGGTTTTGTTAATATACTCTTAAAATTGAACTGTTCATTGTTACTTAAAAAGTTGAAAGTTATTTTTTTTTCTATTTCATCAGAATTAGATTTTGGTTAGGTTTTTTTAAAATAATTTTTTGGTAATTAATTTGCGTGAAATGCCGGTGTCATGATTTGCCATTGTTTATATTTCTTTTAAGAAATATTGAATAGAAATTATTCTTAAAATGTAACTAAAGTGACATTAAATCATTGTACAGTCAGCATGTCAGGTTATACTAATCTATCTAGTTAATTTTGAATCTTAATACATTTAAGGTAGAGTTGAAAATCAATTTCGAAATGTTGACATATGGTAACCTGATGTCCTGCTCTGTACGACTTAAGCATGACAAAAAATGACTAAAATTTAACTTAAACTTAGTATTGTATATATAGGGGAAACACAAAAAATGTTTTAATCAGATCTAGAAAATTGTTAACCTTTGTAAATATTATTATCATCTCAAGTGCTATTCCAATCTAATTATTAAATACATATTACGTAAGTGTATCATTCTGTGAAGAGACGTTATTTTTCGATGGAAACCTTTTGTTTGCTATTTTTATTCCATATATTTCGATTCCGTGTTGTTTCTCGTTAATAGTTACATATAGTGCCAAACTATTTTATGTATACGCTTTTAATAATAATAAAAAACAGTTATTACGTTTTACGCTTAAACACACCTATTTTTTGCTATCAGAAATACTAATTTCACAATAATCATGTATCCACAATTAATGGACAAATAATTCTGATGTTTAGCTTAAACCTTGTAGGTGATTAGAAAAACAGAGTTAAATAATAATATCATAAAATCATTTCCTAATATGAAAAATGACTTATTAATTTGTAGCTCTAATATTATGGAAATTATAAATAATACGATGTTCTGTGACACCAATATACCTACATTGCTCTCTTAAACAATTATAAATCGTTCGAATCCTAATTATTAATTAATATAAATCGAATCTGTTTAAAGGTTTTTGCGTAAAGATAGACAGTGGAATACCGAAAACTTAAGACATTATAACTAGCAAACAATGTATTGTAAAACTATTTTTGTAGATTCATGATTGCGTCTTGTGTAGAAAAATGTGTATTATAATTTATTTCAATTCAAGCAATATTACTTACAAATATAAAATGGTTTACATGACATATTATGAATTTTTATTTTATTACCAACAAGAAGTTTGATGTTTTTGCACAGTATAAGTAGTCTAGTATAAATTATTGCTGATTCGCAATGATTTTAGTAGCACAGCGCCTCTAGCGGTAACTATCAAAAATAAAAATGACCATCACATTTTTTTTCATATTTTTTTAATGATATATACTTATTTACTTAATAAATTCATATGACTCATATTAATCAATCTGCTGTGTTTGTAGGGCACAAATTCACAAACAATTATATATTCTTTGTGATTGCGCACAGATAGAATATTTTTGTTCGCTTAAGGTTATTGAGGATGTAGTTACATTCGTTGAAACATCGCATCCTTAATTATATCTCTACGCCCGCTCTATTTCTCGAAAATGAAACCTCATAGAATTTCCTAGGACCACTGCGTTTTAGTAAAATGGGCTATGGGAATGGGACTACTTAGCCCGTATAGCTTCCATTATAAGCTGTGCTACTTAGTAAAATAAACCGGTCTCGAGCTCGACATCGAGCACAGCGAAGTCGAAGCATAGAGCATTCACTGAAATAAATCCCTTTACTACCATTCTAAGTAGGTTGTATTTGATTGCAGTTCTACGTTGTGTTATAGCTACGCTGTGTTTTATTATAGAATAACTCTGCACATTATTACTTAATTACTGGGTAATAAGATTTTTTGTAAAATTATTCGAATCTTCGTTTTCCAAGAAGTAGAGTAGGCCACTGATAAAAAAAATAAAACAAAATTTGCAAGTAAGCAGATAAGAGAGTATACCAAGATTGCGTGTGGTCGGATACTGTAATCGAATATACCAACTCTCCCAGTGCGCATTCCAGTTTCATATTCTGCTGCTACCGGCAAACGATTTTGTGTTAACCCATTATTATTAGATTATCAAGTAATGTTAAACTTCTCAAATGATTTTGACTTTTAAAGTTAACGTAATCTATACATAGTATAAAATAAAGTCGCTTCCTGTTTTCTGTACGCTGAGATCTTAAACTACACAAAAGAAAGCGATTCTAGATGAAAGTTTATATGTAATTATAATAAAGGCAGAGGCCACGCAGGCGAAGCCGCAAAAACTGAATAATTTTTTATTTTTTATTATCTAAACAAACTTACGAGCAAAAGTGTCAGGTCATTTCACACCATTAGAAACTACAATATTTTCGATCAATGATATTACCCACCACACAAAGAGCCCTAAGTTACCACTCTTTATCTGCAACAGTGTTGCCAACCCTACTGTTTTAACAGTAGATCTACTGTTTTCACATTGATGCGCTGTTTTTCTGTTTTATTCATAATGTTTACTGTTTTTCATTCATTCATTTCATTTTCAATCAACTAAGATGTGGCCATGATACCTGAATGTATTTTTAATTTTTGTTTTATGTATATGTATTTGTAGTAAGAATTACGATATGTTATTAACCAATATGTTCTTTACCAAAAACATCATACGAAGCTCCACATCTCTTAAATTTATAGTGGTATTTTATGAGCGCTGTTTTGCTACTTATTTAATTTATGAGTCAATAACTAACTATAAATTATGACATTGTAGTTGAAACTTTAATTCCATGATTATTATTGATTAGATATTATTTGTATGTGCGTACTATTTTTTAAGCAAGAAGGATAGTTTTTACAATTTATTAGATAAAAATGTTATAGATAGATACCTATTAGTATTTTTAATAAAAACCTAAACTTTTTTATATATAATTTAGTTGATTTTAGCTGAAATAACAATATTTCAAGAAATCTTTCATTCAAATGCTTTGCGAATTAAAAAATGATTCCTTGATCTAAATAAGTTCAGGTTTTTGATCAAAAACTCTGTCTGTCCACGAACAATAGACGAATACAGAATATTTTGAACTATCCGTGAATATTATCAGTGTATCAGGTCCTACCCATGTTGCATTAAATCATAAACATAGCATGGGTTTCGTTGGAGTCATATTACATAGAGTTTTGAAAATAAACAAAATTTCGTTTTCGGAGAAACAGAGTCGAGTTGTAGTTTTATCATCCTCAAAATCTTGATCTGAAACCTACATTTTTTCTATACTATGCACAGGAATCCTCCTTCCCTTTAATATTATTTTATTACTTACTTACTTAGTGGATATATTTTTATCTGTTACTCTTTCACGCAAAAACTACTGGATTTAGATGATATTTGGATACTTTTTATCTTACTAAACGAATCCTTAAGGACCACGCGGGTGAATCTAAAAATGATAATAAGTTTTTCTTCTAAGCACCCGTTGAAATGAATATCGTATTCCGATTATTTTTCAAACCTAAAAAAATTAAAGAACATTTTTAACACGTGTGGGTCGTTTAAGTCTATTAGTAATAAGACTAGCATTCGAAGCTTCATATGGTTACATCACTTAAGGTTGCAGGTCAGGTGCGGGCGTAGAGTGCGGTGCCTTCCGCATATTAAATGCCCTTCGCCTTGAAATTATGTACTACTGACTGCGGATGCCGTAACTTCGTAATAGTTGACTGACACATTCAAAAAATACGTTAACGGTTAGTTTCAAAATAGAATACCTAATTAAGGAATCTTTTCTTTTTGTTTGCTTAAGCGATAAGGCTTGATGCGTGAGTTTTTTGAAAATTCCTAGAAATATGTAGAGCAAAAATACTTTATATGGATTCATTGGTCTTCTTTAAAATAGACAAGAAAGTCTTATGTTTTTATTTTATTATGTTTGATTATAACATGAAACATGTTATTTATTATGTTATAAAGTATTTTATAACATCATAGTAACCATACCTTACCAGTAGAATAATTCTACTGTTTTTAGTAGCGTACCTACAGTAAAATGCATGAATTCACGCATTTGCTGTGAAATTATGTAGTAATTTTCTGTAGCAATTAAGCGCAATTGTGGGATTAATTTTCCCATATTTAAATGCAGGTTAAAGTATTTAATTGGTTTAACATGAAATAAGAATAGATATTATTGGGGATTATAGGGGAAAGAAGGCCACAGAAAATATTGATAGAATGTGTGAAAATTGACATTACTAAGAAAGAATGAATATTGAACAAAATGGAAGAGATGAAGAAACATTTTGCATATAACAAGTAAATATGGGAAAGAGCAAGCTAAAGAAGGGTTGGTTTCCTCGCCTTGAAAGAATAACAATTGGAACACATGCCAAATACATCATATAAGCTTATTAAAAGACTAACAGTTAAACTTTCTCTTCGATGATTTCATATTAAGAATACCTTAGGTAATTACTGCAAGCTATCTTTGTTGGCATTGTCTGTCCAATTATATAGTTAGTGCTCACTTGGATGCTAACTGTCCAAACCCATACAATCGTTAAGTGTAGGTATGCATTAAACGTTGGCATGGTAATATTGATCACACTTAAAAAATGCCTGCAATGATACCACCTACATACTTATTTTGTAAACTCTACTGGATATTTTAGTTTTTGTACTAGGTGTGCTCTGAGGTGACATAAGCAACAAATCATAGCACAATTATTTTTCTATTGGTATCTTGTTGAGAATGTGTGTGTTGTGTAACTATAGCAAATACCAACGCACACAAACGGTAAAAGTTGTAACTTGGATTTATTACGTGAAAGGCTGGTGGTACCACTGAGAGCTGGAGGGGCCGGTCAAGAGTTCTCGCAACTAATGACTCAGTCTCTCGGTGATCAGGGACGGTTTCATTCAAAATTATGTGGAGTGGTCGGTATGCGAGTGAAATACAAACCGAAGCGCGGCAGGTATGACGCGAGCCCCACCACACGCGCACAGCTGCCGGCGCGGGCCGACTGCCGATTGGCTGGCGGTGGGAACCGGTCGCGGCCCCCACTCCCCTTCCTCCGCACAGCCGTCACTAAACTTCAAATTCTTATTCATATTCCTTACCACGACCGTTGCTGTCGCTGAGAGCGCGTACACACGCCAGTATTTCGCGTAATCTTATCATAATGCTCATTGCTACACACGATTTTTGGATTGAGTTTAGTGCATTAACAACATAATAAGTGTCGATTTATAAACGATTATTGCGTTGAGACGCTTAATACCCATACGATATGAAAACGCACGAAGGATTCGTTGGTTTTGTCCTTTTTGTTTCACCGGTTCGTGAGTGGCTCCGAAGCAGGGTTACCTTTGCCATGTGCATCAGATAGTGTTGTGCTCCTATTAGTTTGTCTACAAACTAATATGCAAGTTCTAAGGTAGTGGTACGTACGAGGTGAGGCGTTGGTGATTCAATAGTGACATGAAGGTGACTGTGTGTTTCGGTTCTGTGCGAGTGCTGGTGCCGTGCGGGGCTGGTGACTTGCTGGTCCGCGACCTGGTGCGGGAAGCGACACTGCGCTACAAGAAAGCCACGGGACAGGTTGGTTGTTCGTTGCTCCTTCATACCTACAGTGCAGTTTTCGCGCGATTTCCGCGGAACGCCATTGGTTGACGCCTTTTGTTTATGTTTGTGTAAAATGTAACTGTATCGAAATGTGGTGTTAATTGCTAATAGCACTAGTAGTTAGTGCTTACTCGAAATAAAAGATTTATTACAGTAATATCAAAAATGATTATAATAACAATAATATGATTGGTAATAACAGGAAAAGGAGGAATACCTATGTCTATGACGCATTAGATGACTAAATCGGTGCGCAATAAAATGGCCATATGAGGGTAGATTATTACAAAAGCAAAAATACCTATTATCCTAGCTACAAAAAGTACCCTTTGATACTATCTATTTGATTTGATATCTGTGTGTATTCAAAGGATCGTAATTCAAGTCCCAGCAGGGCTATAGCTTTTACTAAGAAGTTTTAAATGAGTTTAATTTGATGGAATAAAAATCTAGACTTGGATCTCTCTTACATACAAATTTATCAATCAAAAAAATGAACAATGTCGCCAAATTCACAAATAGTGACTGCATCGTACATCGTACAATTTTACTAAGAATTTTCGTTTAAGAACAAAAACACACTTCCATTTTATTTTTATTGAGTATCAACAACAGATCTTCATTCAAGTTTTACAAATAATTCATGAGATTTAGCATTTATAGTGCTACAAAGTGAACAATATCTGTAGAGTCATTTGTTTTTACCAAGCTAAAATGCTAAGGTGAGCATTTGGTTTCACCCAAACAAGATATCAATACACAACAACTGCAATGCCTAGTTTTCTCTGATCGTCAGTTCTTCTTTTTGTTAAGCACATCATCTCGAACGTCTCGAACGTCTGTTGCATTAACATGCCTGCCTTCAGAGTTAATAGCTGTTCGTTTCTTAGCGATCAATTTATATGTTTTTGCACAAATCATCATCAGAACACGGATTTCACGATCTTAGCAGCAAGAACTACTTTCGCTTTGATTACTGTCCATTTTGAGTAGAATGGGCATGGTGTTCGGTGCGGTCAAACTTGATTAATACGAGCTGGTTTTATAAATTTCGTAACTAGCTAATATGCATTAAAGCAATAGGATTTGGGCCTAGATCCATCGTCTACGTGGGTGGACGTAATGCGTCATTCTTTCCTTTTGCAGCTATTTGACCTATGTTCTAAAAGGACGATTCGCATCTTCGCCTCCGTATTAAGTCGTAGATGAAACGTAGAATTTTTATAGTGTAATTCTTTGACGGAGAAAGACACTTTACAATTACTTTCTTAGAGTATTCATTGCCTCCTAAACAATTATAAATATTTCCAGAAATTCCTTATATTATTGATCTTTTGTTAACATCTACCCATTGTCCCAGTACCTTACCGACCATTGTCAAAAAGTACCTGTTATCTTAAGAGATTTTACAAATACAAATAGAACTAATAGGTTATAGGCAATATGAGAGTGACGAACGGCTGATAAATTGACATAGGAATAAATTCCAAAATAAATACAATCTATACCAATATAAATAAAATGATCACGATATGCAATGTAACTTTGTTACTATTTTAACATTATTTACTAACTTTCCACCAGCAACTTCACCTTCTTTGTTTACAGAATGACTTGACTTACATATATCTCTAGGGAACCCTTTTGTTGGGATAATAAGTAGCCTCTATTTTAATTAAGGCCTTGAATTATCCGTATACCAAATTTCATTGAAATCCTTTCAGTAATTTTTGCGTTAAAGAGTCACAACAAACACACAGCCATCCTTACAAGCTTTCGCATTTATATATCTAACTATATCTTCACGCCATATCCCATGCGGGTTAGGCAGAGAGGAGTGAACGCCACAAGGTACAGTCCGTACATACCTTTCGCCTCATTCACTTACATTACTCTTTCTTTCTTTCCATACATACTCGCCGTTTTTATGGCTTCCGATATCACCTTTTAACAGTACGCGATTGATTTGATCGTGAACGCTGTGTCGTTTTCCTCGGCTTCTGCATCCTTCCACTTTCATATTGTGTATCAGTTTTGTCATTCTTTCATCCGCCATTATTTCTGTATATCCGAAACAAAAGCGCTTGTTTCTGATGATTTTTACATCGACGCTATCTTTTAAGTCAACTCTTTCATATTTCGTCATTCCGAATGTGGTCTGCGGTCATTTATAATATTAGTAGAATAAGGTATAAGTTTCAAAGATTATACGACTTTATTACAGTCTCCTAACGCTATCCGTTCACCTGCTGACACCTGCAGCATCGTTTAAAATCCGTAGGAAGCTGCCGACCTTGCCGGCTGCGCTGCCACCACACCGCATTGCTAACGTAATTAACTTGCACACGTAAAAATTTACGTAAACGGGTTTATAGTTACTAATATGCAACTATTATACGCTTCTGTTGATATAGGAGAATAATATTTTGAATTTCTCATACAATTTTCATAATTTTTTTATGAAAGATAGAAGACAGCTATATAAATAGTCTTGACTTTTGTGTGCTCCTATCTCTGTATGCTACTTTATAATTGAAAAAATTACTACCTACGTAGTTTGTAAATAAATTGATAAAAAAAATGAAATTGATTTCCTTTTATTATTTTATAGAGAATATATTTTTTTACTAGCTGTGCCCGCGACTTCGTCTGCGTGGGAAGTATTTTCGTAGAATTCTTTTTTCCTATGAATTATGACGAATCGAATAAGATCAATGGACCATAAACCTATACGCGGGCTTGATGCGGATCGGTGGGTGTTAACGTTGCTGATGCAGCCAGAACTAACGGCTTAGCGTGCATTATGCTACTACAGTGCTCAAGATAATAATGTTTTGGTCACCCATCCTGTAAACGGTCCTTACAAGTGTTATTTTTCTATTTTTTTCTTTTCTCGCACTCTGGTTGTTGCTTGTATCTGAGCATTTTATTCGTACTTTTAAACGGTCCTTCTTTTGTTTTTGATCTTTTTAAATTATTATTATTTGCCTAGTTGTATGCACAATCGGCTATTTATTGTTCTATTTTTCATGTAATGCTAGTTTGCCTGGAAGAAATCGCTGGCTAGCGATGAGTTTGTCGTTTGTACTTATTTATGTAAAATAAGTATTCATGTATGTCCTTGTTGTGCAGTATTTATTTACTTATTTAACTGTAATTTAAACCAAATGCGCTAACCCACTACAACATCGGACCCCTTATACCTGAGCTATACTAATATTATAAAGAGGAAAGATTTGGTTGTTTGTTTGTATGCATCGAATTTGCTCCAATACTACTGGACCGATAGTTGCAGAGCGATTCCGACCTATGGGAAGCTACATCAGACGCGCATGTCATAGGCTATAATTTTGCGGCAAAGTCGTGGGAAAATAGCTAGTTCATTATACCCTGTGAAAACTTATCTGCGGTACGCCTGTGGAGTATGAAGTCAACACGGGTTGGCGATAATCGAAACTACTTTCTCGATCTCTATTGTGCAAACTGCGAGCTCTTTCAGAGACCAAGCGCATTTCCCTATCAAAAGAAGTTTTATACTCATACCATACTGCATGTATGTAAATGCTTCTGATTCAACTTTATAGTGCATGAGCCTCGCTATGGGCAGTTAAATACGCTTCGCGTTTTTCAGATGTCTCCCGAGACCGAGCGCTTTCTGTCTGATCTCTTTCTTTGTCTATAAAAGTCGGTCAGTATATGTCTGACGGAAGATACGTGGAGTTTTATTTATTGATATAAAAAAAATATATACATATTTTAATTTCGACTTTCCACACTCGAAGGAAATCGTCTACTAACATACTTCCGTGAGGTGCTTAACTGAGCTTCTGTCAGATTTGAACAGCCCTCATCATCATCAACATCAGCCCTTTTACGTCACCAACTGCAGGAGCTCAGGCCTTCCTTATGGATGGTTAAAGAGGATGGGCCACGACCCTCCATGCTGGCCCAATGTGGATTGGAGGATATTAACGACTGCAAATACAACCGGGACCGCTTTACATGCTTTCCGAAGCTTGGAGTTGCTTGAGATAATATTTTTTGGTCATCCATCCTGTGCCCGACCTTTGCGAAAGTTGCTTAACAACTACAATCGCGGGCCATGGCACTTATTCACTTCGCCACCGAGCTACTCTGAACCGACCCTCAGACTCGCGTAATATTATATGAGTGTTGTGACCAATGAATAAAGCATTGTTTCCAGCGAAGACTGAAAATACCAACTCTGAAGTATGTATCTACAGCAATTTGTATGTTAAAAAAATACAAAAAGAGTATTAACATAAGTAGTGCACGGACAAACCTTTCTGGTTTTTGCTGCACTAAGTGATACGATTGATATGTAATTATTATTCATAAATAAAATAAAATAAAAATAAAAAAAAAGCAATAAGAGAAAAAAAAATATATAACTCGAATTGTCTTTACGTTCTTAACTTCAGTTGACGTGAATCTAAGTTTTTTAACGTCGTGGAAAAACTTCTGACATTGTTTCTGTAACCTGGCAAGCAACAGGGGTGAGTAGGATTCTCCTCTGTGAACCCGACACTGAGCTGCCCGGTGGGTCCTCAGAGGCCTACCCACCAAAACCCGTATTCTACACCTTCTCATGGGAAACGAAAACCGGCAAGCTATGGCCGAATCACCAGGACACTCAAGTATTGGACCAGATGGAAAATTGGAGAGACTCGGGTAAATCGAGTGCCTCTCCCAGACAGACGAAACCGTGCAATGCGGGAGCAGCTGCCAACCACCTCCGCTGGCCCGGACGACGACGTGAATCTAATCTGATTAAAAATATGCGTTCACTGTACACTACTCGAGGCTTAATTGCATCATCAGAAGGCTCTTTCCGCTTGTTCTCCTACTCGCGTGATCGTATACCACATGTCCATTATAAACTGAACCCTATTTAATATGATTGGCTATATATCAATGAGGTCAACTTACTTCGGAGTTGTCAAAATTTTGGAATC